CCACCCCCCATTTTTACGTGGCTCCCATACGATATACCTTTAATCACTGAGAAAACTTAACCCAGACCAACATATTCTTCAAGTTTGTCCTTTTAATTCCAAGAGAAAAAATTTGACATGAAGTAATTATCGAACCTTAAATACCGCCCACTGTAGGGAATAAGTGAAGCCATGTCACGGTTAGAAATGACATCACTGTTTCACCCTCATAGTTAAGAGTTAAGGTTCTCCCGTGTCCATCAAAACAAGAACTTCCCTTTGACAAAGATAAAGCAGCTGTACGATTTAGACAGGGAGCTCTTTTTCAAATTTTCCCCTCAAGTCCCTAACCCCTCCCCCCCCCTTCCCCCTCCCCAATATTCTGACGGTGTGTATTGTTCCACCATATCGTCCAAATTTTTAGACCATAAAGAGCAGATAATATAAAATTTAATCAAAATGTTATGTTCTTTAGTACAATTTACTTCACATATTCTACACACAACTTTCACCCTTGATACGCATGTGGCAGTGACAAGATGCGGTAAAAATCTCAGAACACAACCGTATCTTTTCTTTTCGATGAACATTTTTTATCACTGATTCTAATTTTGATTCACATGAAAAACACCTTTCCATAAGTATCTATCTTAGGCTTATATACGGGTAATCTTTTCTAGACAAGACATTTACCCACCATATAATTTTCACACATGAATTTCAACTAACGGTATTTGAGACAATAAAGACCTCCCAAAAACTTTGTTTACAACAGCGTCAGAATTTCTGTTTCCAATCTTCATCAAGCAATCTCATTTCACCATAAAAAAAGGGGTTTCTCTTATTCAGACACTGTGCTGACTGACAACACTGCTAAAGCTTCCTTGTTAGCACCCAGCGCCCGACCGTTGACAATCAAAAACCGCGGACTGTCCACAATAATACTGCCGAAACTGATTTCCTGCAAGAACAAAAAGAGAACATGATTACCACAAGTATTTCTATCTCAAAACTTATAAAAAAAGAAACATTAATACAAACCTCACATTCAATCGCAAACAGAAAACATTACACACACAACATTGTCACCAACTGACACATAAAACAGTTTCCTGGCAGGTCCTGAATTTTTATTTCATATTTCTTCATGACGACAGAGAACATGCTTGAATACGCATACTGATATAGATATTTTCCTCCTTGTACAACAACTGGAAAAAAGAACTTTCCCTATTTTAATAACCAAACAGCTACAGACACATCCCGCTACTGGTTTCGGGTTGCTTCACAATTTAAAAACCAGACTGTTAGGGTCACAGACAGAGGTGAGTCTGGTGCGCATCAGACCAGTGGCTCCTGTGCAGCCAATGCCAGCACACATTTTCCCACAATTCATATGACCTATAAAACGAACTGTCATTCAGTCCCGGCATTGAGAAGAATAGGACTGACGTGGTCCTAGCGTGTCGCGCAAGGCAACTGAATGACGAATCAGATAGTGACTCCCGAAACAGAGTCATTCTGCCTCCAGGTCGGGGGTTATGTCACGAGGCTAACAACCTCTCTCGCAAAAAGAACCTGTTACAGAAACACATACAAGCAAAAACCAATATCTCTGCTTGGCTGGTTGTGGATCTTCTCTGAATGGAGAGTTTATGGTGTGAGGCAGTGAAAGCCGAAAGGAAGCGGCAGGGCAGAAGCCTCCACCATCATCCAAGTCTCTTCGGATTGAATCGTGGAATGTTGGGACCCTTTGTGAGACGAGGCAGGGGTGGGCCACAGGAAACATGGAGGAGATGTGTGGAAAGGGCCATGAGAGAGAGGAAACTCACTTGGAACGAGCTTTGAAGGATGGCCCAGGACAGATAAATGGAAGGAGCTTGTATGTGGCCTATACACAGCCAGGGGTGGAAGGCATTGATAATGATGATAAATAAAAAAGATGTTTTTCTCACTGTTGCTGTGGAGTCATTGGTGAGAGAGCACCATTATACAGTCAAACCTGTCGGTAACCACAACTTATCCAAAACAATCACCTTACAAATGGCTGCTTCACACTTCCCTTTACGCTTTTTCGCTATTACAACGACACTGTCCAAAACGTTCATGTAAGACAATCACTTTTCTCCTAGACAATAGTAGCTGTAGTAGCATTTTTCCAATCACGGCCTTGTGTGATAGAAACACGGGGGAAAAGAATTGGAAGAAGCCAAGTATACTAAAGCATTTCCCAACCCTCTACCTACCAATAACTAAAAGGAAATATTCACCCTTGTCACTTTTCCTAATCCTTTGAACTCTGACCTCCCACACTCCTGAGACCACAACCCTCACCTGACCTCTGCTAGCACAGAAATCGTCACAGTGTTTAACCCTATCCGTACGCCCTGGGGTCATTTTGTACCCCCAGGGTTGTATTCTTCACATTTTAGAATACTTCTAGTACGAAGATCTCTTTGAAACTTTAAGTATTTCTTTAAAAAATTATTTTTGACAGACTGCTATGCAAAGCGTACAGATCGGATAAACGAGTAAATTTCCTCTTTGGAAGTGGTTGTACAGAGTTCCCCACATCGTATGGACACGATAGTAAAACATGACGTACGGAGAGGGTTAAGATATTTTTTGTTGTCCTGAAGCCACTTAAACCAAACCCCCGCCCCCTAAAAAATGACTCTGGTCTGTAATGAAAATGATGAAATACAATCAAAGTTGTTCCAAGAAGGACACCTATTGTCAAGGAGGAAAGTGGTTGCTTAGACAGGTGGACTTCTTGGACATTGTCACTGTTATAATTTTTTTTAAACACAAGGGGGGG